TTTGCTCGCAGTGCCAATGTAATGTTGTTCTCTTGCTGTATTCCAAACAACAACTAACTCGGAGCTCCGGAAAGCTCCGCAATAGTGAGGTTTTGCATTCCGAATTTCGGCTCGGCGTTCTTTGGTCATTTGTCGAACATCAAAATGTCGAATTTTCGCACCGACGTTTGTTTTGCAAGTCGAAAATGATGTGTTTTGATTTCGTGAGCCCCAGCACCAGCAATGTCCTGTCCCGTGCTCCTTTTCTTGCTGATTCCGACAAACTTTGATCGCGCCCAAAGAGTCGAGGGCCAAACCTGCCTCCTCAGTCGCCTCAGAAAAACCAACTCCATGGCCAAATCAAATTTTATGGGTATCGCCATAGTCTTTTCAGCCACACAGATGACGGTGAGGACACTCCAGGCGAAAGAGAGTAGACAGGCAGTGGAGAGGAGCAATCAGAGGTAGCTGACGATGCTGATGTCGTCAAAGACGCCTGCGAAGCCATGCCAAGATAAGAAACCTCTTTGAATAAATCACGCGCTAGCGCTCTTCCACAAGAAAATTCATCCGAAAAATATGTTCGGCAAAGTGAGCTTTTTCCGAACAAACATGCCGCATCTTCGTGTGCATTTTCGACCTCGCTCCCACGTGCCGAATCTTTTGCCGAATTTCGGAATGCAAAACCTCACTAATATGATGCCAACAGAATGTAATGGTGTGCGTGCATGCGTACAGAGTCGGTGCGTACCGACTGTCAGCACAGGTGTGGAAAGCAGCATATGTAAATGGATAGGAGCACAAACGGTGCCGCGTGCATATATGTGTCGGTAGAGCATGAGACTCTTAATCTCAGGGTCGTGGGTTTGAGCCCCACGTTGGGCGCCAAATGTCGTCTCGGTTGGAGAACGAGCTGCCTCTACTATACCCTCGCCACGCCACACATCAAACGGACTAGTCAAGTGGTTTTTCTCTAGAGCTAGAGAGAGAGAGAGCTATTCATTACTACACTTCAGGAGACGACGGGAGAACTGACAACTGACATGGCAAAAGGAAACATGATATCGGAAAGTGGTGCCCTCATCAGCACAAAAAGTGGCGTACTCGATATCATATTAGCACAAAAAGGTGCACGTGTCAGCAATACAACAAAGCAGCGCAGCAGCATGTACGGGTCAGCAGCACAGAGACACAAATACAGCAGCAGGTACGACAAAGAGACAACACGTGCAGCCACATGTACAACATATGGGTGTGACAGTCCATATATGTACGTGTGAGCACTACACACGATGAAAACATGCAAAGTATGGAGACCCAGACTGTGTGGTCAGCAGGACACAGCCCGTACAGGATGGAACAGACAACTAAACGTAATATAGCACCACGTACCGGCGGACTAGTCGACGCTGATGGGAGAAGTGGCACCCCCTGAGGCAGCTACGGATGCTAGAACTCTACAGCCAGACCAACACCAATATAAAACAAAAGGGTACACCACACCAGGAAGCAAGTCAACTTGATAAAGATGTGTGAACAACGGCCACACACCACAGAAAAGCATACAGAACAAAAACTCAATTACCGACACCATAGACACTGCAAAATCCAAACAGGAGGAAAATACTAACTCCCTGAGGACACTGAGCATGAGGCAAACGAGCAAGCAACCTCTTGCCGATGTTCCACCGTGTAACAACAACCGCGCTGGCAACCGGACTGTATGGTAGGGGTACTACACCTGGACCTCAAGACCAACGGGCGAAGGACAGCAGGCCGGGCCCAGGTAAATACAATGAGGAGCACTGTATACAACTACAGAAATAACCCAAACCCATGCCAATTTGACCAACATACCTTCCCTGCGCATCCATTCCTAGTGTACGGGTCTGAAAGATGAAAGATGGAGCGCTTGTATACACGGGCCCGGAAAGCCTGCTTCGGCCGCTCGGCAGCAGCTTCGTAGTGGTGGTCAAGGGTCGAAGACCGACGGATATGGATCAACTCCCCAGTGAACACACCTTTGCCCATACTACAGAGGTGGTTACTACCGACAAGCAGATACAGGAAACGATTGGTGAACTTGAAATGAGGCTTCACCGCCATGTATCCCTTACTACGGAAAACTGTGGTGTCCAGGAAATCAATGCCATCATGTGCCAGTTCATGAGAAAACTTGAGGGCCGAACACTTATTAATCCTACTTGTATCTAAAGTGCGCTGAACTTGACCTTCGCAACCATGCAATGATAAAGCGTCTATAAACCTGAACCTCTAAACCCTCCCCCTCTAAGATCGGCAAAACGTACCGCTTCTCCAAATACAGCATAACAATGTCGACATAGACCACTGCTGCAGGCGAACCCATGGCAGTCCCTTGGATCTGCCGAAACACATCGTTACCATACACGAACTCATTTTTCTTCCGAATGACTGACATCAAGGAAGTCACTGCTGTTAATAACCATGTACGAAGGGCGAGGGGCATCCACCTTGTACACCTGTGTGTGACATACCACGACAACCGAGCTCGTTGGGGATGTTGGTGTAGTAAAGGCTGGTCACATCTATACTCAATTATAAATGATCGTCCCGCACAGGCAAACCTTCTACCAAGTTGATGAAATCCGCAGTTGAGGTCAGAACAGCACTTTCCTCACATACATACGGGTTCAGTAGAAAGTCAGTGAACTCAGCGGGATAGTAGCCAGGACTATTTAGATTAACAATAGGCCTAACCTTCAGGACCCAGGGCTTATGTGTTTTGAGAAGTCTCCTGATAACGGGCATGCGCCCCCGGGGCGACTAAGAACAGTGACATAATACTAGTGGGCATACGATGCTCAATGCGATGCCTAGTCATGGCGAGTAAACAATTGACTCGGGTCGCTCACCGTGACGAAGTCTCAACACAGCCTTGAGCCTGTTGGTTGCCATCGGCAGTCTAGCCGCATGCTCATCTAGCCCCTCAGGCAAACAAAACAGTCATTTATAATGTTTGGCATTGTGATGCTGGGCACGACCTATATCATCATAGTGAGATCAGTCCAGGACTACTATCACAATAGACTGCCTTTGAATATGCCTGAGTCCGATCGCGTTCTAGCTCCCAAACTATGTGCTGCATGTGTACACTCCGCCTATGGTTAGTCTACTCCAGAACAACGCCTGGAGAGGTTCATTGGGGGGCATGATGTCCCCCACCCCATTCCCCCCTTGCCCCCTGCACCTGAAGTACCGGTATTGCCCCCCCCCCCCCTCCCCAAACAAATTACAGGACACAGATGGAGCACTGGGGAGCACGTAGCAGTAGGCAAAGTTGACGATGCCAGTGCAGACACGGCCTGACCTCGGTCACCACACTGACACCGTACAGTCTCCAAGGGACATAGCTACCAGAGAACACACAGAATGCGAGTATATAGTGCTATCTCGGTGATAGACAACCCCCTATACACAAAATATCTACTGATAGAGTTCTGTGTAGACCCTATGTGCACATATGTGTGGATGAGTACTGGTAAACGGACAGCTAACCCTAGTCTAAGTAAAATAAAGGTAGAATGTAGAGCCTGGGCAAAAAAATAAGTAAGTAAAAATATTGACTAGTTTGAGGGAAAGACACAAACGGGAAAAGTCTGAAGAAAAATTGACTGTCACCAAAAAAATAATAATAGCTACACACACGAGGGAACTCGGATGGAGAGCCAAGGATTAAAATTAAAAAAGAGGACCATCAGTTTACGAGTTATCCGTTTTGTCCAACACTTACGGATATAAACGTGATGCAGCTAAACATCAGGTCGTTGAATGTCATGATCTCATCAGTCAGTTTTTGTGCTAATTGTTGCACATTTTTGACTCAGCAGTATTCTGCATATAACCGTTAGTGTTGGACAAAACGGATAACTTGTAAACATGAGGGAACACTCATCCTTACCCAAGTCCCAACGTCAGCACTCGGCGCCGCTCCGAACCAAGAGGAACATTGGAGAGATCGTCCATCAGCTCCTCTCTTGTCCTGCGATCAAATCGCCTAATGCTAAAACACAAGAAGATAGGAAAGGCAAGTAGAATAAATAAATCAATAAAGTAATACACAACAAAACAAGTTTGAACAGCTGCAAACGTAATGGACGATCCGAACAAGACCAATGATATACCTAGCAATAAGTGTGCAGAGTGTGCAGCCCAAGGATAATCATCCCACGGCAAAGTTTATTGTTTAGGGCATAGACTCACAGTAACAGGCTCACCTTTGCTGCATCTCACACCGCTTCACACGGTAATCTACTGTATCACCATGGTAATTTCTGTTGCACATTGCTGCTTGTTTAACAAAAGGCAGAAAACACACCGAATTTCCAGGAATTACCATGGTGATACGGTACTTTAGCTTGGACCTATTCTATGACGGGTTTTCTATGATTCATAATGACCCAGAGAGAAACTAAACCGGTATCGAATTCCAGTCAGCGACGCAATTCTTCTGAGGTGTAAAGTGACTTCAGGAATATGTTGCAGAAAACTGCGATGCATGCTGATTATTTACTGTGCCCTATTGTGCACCATATACCAGGTGTGTTACTCAGGGATGAAGTAGATGCACACAAGTACCGTGCATAACGGCACAGGTTAGGTTTGCTACAAGCTGCTACAGTGTACTTGTGGTCCGAACTTGCACTCTACTCAGCTCTGCATACGCAAAGAGTGCTGGTGCCGAAATGAACCAGAAGGGTGCTGAGTGGGACGCAACAACACTGACTCTGTATACCCATGTACACAGATATGATAGGGTATGCAGTACCTGCTCTAGGATTTAACACAAACCGGGTACACGTCTACCTGGCACAACTCCTGCAACACTGGGCCAGAGCCAGATGCGTTCAAGTGCGGCTACTGTGTGTCAGGGAGTCGTAAACTTACTTTCGACTTCCTGATGTACATGATTGTACATGTACATGTATGAACGTACTCGCACTGGGCACTCTGTAACTCGTATGTAGAGACTTCGTTGCACCCAGTAAGTTCAGTAGATCTACGCTGTGTCACAAAAATGCCTCAGCAGCACTTTTACACCTTGCCTTGTCACCGTCCTCGGACGGTCAGGCGGACTGCAGGCGACTACGCCGCCTAGGCATGCATGCACTGCATGCACGCTGGGCCTTGATCAAAACATTCTCCGTAGATCTACCCACATCGAAATTATTTTACTGGTTCCCGGGCATCCCGGGAACCGCCCTATGTACGCCCCTGAGAGCTACTGTTGACCGCTATTCACTGCTGTATTTATTTTATTACTTTGCATGGCCATGTTGAGGCAGTCTTCGCATCAATTTCCTTTACACAATGCGTGTACTACAATGTATTCAAAACCAACGTCTGTGCCACGCACACATACACAAACGTTTTAGGGATGAAACGAGTATATCGAATACTCGAGCGCTTGCTCGAAAATTCGAAAGGAGTGAGGACTCGTGTCGCAAAACACTCAAAGTATCTTATGCACAGTGTACTGTTTGCTTGTACATCAAGCACGTCTGTTACTCTGACCAGTACTGATAACCCATGCAAGTGTGAAATTATTACTTGTCCCTACTTACCAACAAAAGACGTAGTTCAGACTATTTCCTGCACTAGGCTGCATGCAAGACTACATGTGTATCAGGTGTAATACGTTCAGTGTTACGAGAGTGTGTGCAGTACATTGTTTTATGTTGTCAGTAAAATACTCGTACTCGCTTGAATACTCGCTCGTTTTTTCAAAGAGTACTCGAGTCCTCAATTTTGGCACTCGTTTCACCCCTAGGCCAAACATGCATGCACTGAATGCCTGTGCTCTGTGCTCTGTGCACTCTGTGCTTGTGCAGGTCAAACCGACTGCCAGGTCCTGTCACCACCGGCACTGGGCTCAATGACCGTGAACGGCTTGATGTTCAGCAACACGACCACGTTTGTGTGCACATCTCCCTATGTCCTTATGGGCTCGGCCGTGCGTACTTGTGAAATCAACGGCCAGTGGAGCGGTGTGCAGCCAACTTGCGTCCGTAAGTACATGTACCAATGCTCGACTGGCTTGTATTATGCATTCCCGTTCATCACACCGCTCATACTGTCAAATGCTGCCTCTTCTCATTCACAATGGCATGGGTCACAGTAGATAGGCCTGGTGCAGGTATTGCCAGTTCCTTGCTTGCTGCAGTACAGTATGACATATTAACTTAGCTGGTAAGCAGTGCATGTGTGCGTGGCAAGTGTTATTTTTGTCCATTGCTTCCCAACCCATGTGTAGTGACGACTGCTGCTCTGAGTGCGGCCAGTGACGACTGCTGCTCTGAGTGCGGCCAGTGACGAGCTAGTCAAGGACTCCGTCTCAGAACGCATGACACAAACGTGTAAGCCTAGTATTGCTGCATAATTAAGAGCAATTTCTCCTACTGCTGACTGCTGAAAATGTTGTGTCCTTCACAACTAGTCTCTTTGTTCTAAGAAGTCTGCCTCTTTCATCGATTCGTGTTTACCTAGCTGCGTTACGCTATTAGTAGCCTATTACCTGTTGTGCAATGGGGCTGGCCTAAAAGCTGCTCGCTCAACAGTTGTGTTGCATGGCATAGAGCGAGAGACGGCAAGCCGCCTCGGCGTATTTGCGGATAGAGCTTTTATTAGAAAGGAAAAGGACATATGGATACGAGTTAAGAGTAACTGTCCACCACTGTAACTAGCTACTACAGTAAAAAAAATGCAACAACTAGGCACAAAACTGACAGAGTGCTGAGACATTCGACGACCTGACTCCTAGCTTCAACACATCTCCGTAGCGCTAACCAACAGCCTTCCAACTTGGAAGGTTCAAGGTTAAAAGGAGAGACCAAAGAGGGGAAGGTAAGCGCAACGAAAATGAGCACAAGCTAGTAGTTGAAGCTACAGTCCCACAAGAACAAGAAATGTTGATTGTTACTTGTTACTGGACGATGACGAAACCAGTATTACCTTTCCCTCTTTGGTCTCTCCTTAACACCACGGAGATGTGTTGAAGCCAGGAGTCGGGTCGTCAAATGTTTTAGTGCCTGGTTGTTGCACTTTCTGACTGTATTTAGTATATAGTGACAGTTACTCTACACTCATATCCATACGTCCTTTTCCTTTCTACATTAATTTTATTATTGCCATATTGGCTCAACATCTGAGTTTCAAAGAGCTTTTAGTGGACGACTTAATCCATTTTCGGCAATACTTACAACGATCCAATCAGTCATATTGTAGATCAGGCTATGCTGTGGGTAAGTATACTACTGGCCTTGTATGGCTTATTGTTTGCCAGCGAGTATTTAGCATCATCTACTAGTATTCACTCGTTTGACAGCCAAAGAGTATTTGTGTGGGAGGCTGGGAGTCTCGCACCTGACTTAGTCACGTTGCGCCTGAAGGTCACTAAGACGCGGCCATATACGGTGGAGCCGTCGCAGTTCCATCTACTGTCGACGAAACATGCCCGGTATTGGCTATTCCGGTACATGACAGCCCATGCCTGTAGCACCAAGCCTGTGTTCACTTTTGCCAAAGGGATCCACCTTACTCGGCCTTATTTAAATATGATACGGCAAGCAGACGGTGGCAAAGTACGGCTTAGAAGCTCTACATCTGGCAAGTGGCCGGCATACCACCCCAATGGACATCGGAACAGTACACGTAGAGTAGCATCTCTACGTGACAGGGTATGAGCGCAAGTGAGTGTTTATGCTCTACTAATGTGCATTGATTCTGTGACGATAGTTGGTGTACAGATCTCATCACATGTGCCTTAGGTGGGATTTGCTATTGTCACTGGAAAATTCAGCCCTAACAAACAGTGTGATGGATGAATTTGACTCCAAGTATCTGCTTTTGGGAATGCCATGTATGCATGTCTGGCGTGCTGCTGCTATAATGTTGTGGCAGCAGCATTTTGGTGCGATGGACTGTTCTTGTAACGGTGTACCTACCCATTTGCTGTTGCTGGATGCCGTGTTTTGTCAGTTGTGCCTGTTTGAAGGTGCCAGGCCAGCTTGTGTTGGTGCGTTCCCGTTAAGTTGGCAGGGCACCATATTTGTAACGGCGTTCCCGTTTTGCTGTTGTGGGGCTGTGTTTGTATCGGTGTGTTCCCGTTGAAGTTGACGGGGCACCACGTTAGTGGATTGTGCCTGTTTGAAGTTGCCAGGCCAATCCTGTAACGCACACCCGTTTGCTGATAATTGGGGACGTGCGACTAGTTGTTGGAGGTGACAGCGTTGTGAATAGCTATACTGGCTCTCAACGTTTGTTTAGCACAACTCCATGAGCGACTCTGACTCACGCTGCTACCTGGGGATTCACTAGGTGTTTGTCGCGCTGGAAACAAAGCGTCTCTGTAAGTATGTATCCCTGGTGATGGTTTGGCCTGGAGAGCAGTATATAAGTGGTGCTTTTCAGGCACAATCTTCCTCAGCCTACTCAAGCTCAACTGATGAGGGGTGAATTCCCCGAAACACTGTGTATTGAGCAGGGAGTGGTGCTTTCTTACAGGTTTGCCGAGCGGAAGGTGCGACGTGCTCCTCGTGTGCTCCGGATGGCAGTCGTGAGTCAGTCAAGTGTCAAGTTCGGCAAGAAGCGTGTGCTCCTCGTTGGAGCAACCAACTTTGTGTGGAATAATCGGTAAAATTTGAGCAATGCCCCCCTTTTTTCAATTTTTTCCATTTTAACACCCTGATTTGTACCCGGAAAAAGCTTGTGATCCTGAATGAGTTGATCGCCCGGTATTTCAAAAGAGAAAGAAAAAAAGCTTCCAGCCGAGTTTCACGCGAACCGTGATTTTTTTGCCCGTACAAGTGGCAAAAAAAACCCGTAAGCGGTACGGTATCTGCAAAAAAGGGAAGAAAAAAAGCATTATTGTGAGAATTATTGGTGGAATTACGGGAATTATCGGACGTAATTTTGAGCAATGCTCAAAGGAATTATCGGTAAAAATACGAGCATATTCCGCGGAGGGCTACTTGCGGTCAAAGTATTGCAGCATGCAGTCTTCGGCGATGGCCTTCTGCAGTGCATCAAATGATTGCTGCTCAACATCAGTTCAACGCCAAGCAGTACCTTTCTTAGTGAGAGCAGGGAGTGGCGTGGTGAGATCGGCCATGTTACGAATGTAACGGCGGAGGAAGTTGGTGAGACCCAGGAAACTCTGTATGTCGCTGACGCAAGATGGCGTAGAGAATGTAGCCACAGACTGCTGGTGGCTGGGAGAGGCGCGGATGCCCTTGTCGGAGTAGACGCTAACCATGAACTTGAGCCGAGGCTTGAGGATGTGACATTTGTGACATTTGGCTCGGTTGAGTGTAACATTGTGATCTTGGAGCCGCTGGAGGCAGGCGGCGAGTCGTCGGTTGTGCTCTTCGACGCTCTTACCAAAGTTGAAGATGTTGTCGTGGACGTTCTTCACACCGTCGAGGCCAGCGAGCCATGGCGTCCGGTGTGCGCTGTAGGATCTCGGATGCGGACGATACGCCCATGGGCAGACGTTTACAGTGCAAAACTGCGTAGCGACGTGACTCAGGGTGGCCTGGCTCTCCACAGCGGTAGCAGAGCGATGTGCTGGATTCCCGCTGGCCTGGAGCGCGAGTGGCGACTGGGGCAGGTGGCTGGTGGTACGAGTTTGCAGCTGGATGTGGCGAAGACTGCATCGGTCGACGCGACGGAGTTGAAACAGTAGCAGGAGGCGGCTGTGTCCTTTTGTAGAACGGTGGCTGATGACGGAGGGCATTGATCGAGTCTTGTGTGCGCCGGAACGCCGTCGTCTGTTCCACTGACGCTTCAAATGCTCTGGCGGCCTTGAGCGCCTTGGCGAGATCAAGGGACGCAGTCTCCAGCAGTTTTCTGCGGAGTGGATCGGACGTGCATCCTGCCACAATTTGATCACAGAGAGCCACGTTCTTCTGGGCATCGTCGGCGAAGCTGCAGGTCGTTGCCGATGCCAGCAAACGAGTATAAAACGTGTCTAACGTTTCGCCAGGCTGCTGGGTGACCTGCCGGAAGTGGAAGCGGGCCATGCTGGGGCTCTGCTTCGACTGAAAGTAGTCGGCGGCGGCAGTTATGAGGCCGTCGAGATCGTTGCCAGTGTTGGCTAACGTAGGGACGAGCTGCTGGATGTCCTTGCCGGCCACATACTGGAAAGTGTCTCTCTGGCGAGTGTCATCCGAGATGCCGGCTGCTGCGACATAGATTTGGAAACACCGTTCCCAGGCAGGAAAATGGGCAGCAGCGTCGTAGAGACTGCTGTAGATCGGGAATGGCTCCGGAGGCGGTAGTGACAGTAGGGACATGGCGAGGATCAGGCGTTTGCTCGCAGTGCCAATGTAATGTTGTTCTCTTGCTGTATTCCAAACAACAACTAACTCGGAGCTCCGGAAAGCTCCGCAATAGTGAGGTTTTGCATTCCGAATTTCGGCTCGGCGTTCTTTGGTCATTTGTCGAACATCAAAATGTCGAATTTTCGCACCGACGTTTGTTTTGCAAGTCGAAAATGATGTGTTTTGATTTCGTGAGCCCCAGCACCAGCAATGTCCTGTCCCGTGCTCCTTTTCTTGCTGATTCCGACAAACTTTGATCGCGCCCAAAGAGTCGAGGGCCAAACCTGCCTCCTCAGTCGCCTCAGAAAAACCAACTCCATGGCCAAATCAAATTTTATGGGTATCGCCATAGTCTTTTCAGCCACACAGATGACGGTGAGGACACTCCAGGCGAAAGAGAGTAGACAGGCAGTGGAGAGGAGCAATCAGAGGTAGCTGACGATGCTGATGTCGTCAAAGACGCCTGCGAAGCCATGCCAAGATAAGAAACCTCTTTGAATAAATCACGCGCTAGCGCTCTTCCACAAGAAAATTCATCCGAAAAATATGTTCGGCAAAGTGAGCTTTTTCCGAACAAACATGCCGCATCTTCGTGTGCATTTTCGACCTCGCTCCCACGTGCCGAATCTTTTGCCGAATTTCGGAATGCAAAACCTCACTAATATGATGCCAACAGAATGTAATGGTGTGCGTGCATGCGTACAGAGTCGGTGCGTACCGACTGTCAGCACAGGTGTGGAAAGCAGCATATGTAAATGGATAGGAGCACAAACGGTGCCGCGTGCATATATGTGTCGGTAGAGCATGAGACTCTTAATCTCAGGGTCGTGGGTTTGAGCCCCACGTTGGGCGCCAAATGTCGTCTCGGTTGGAGAACGAGCTGCCTCTACTATACCCTCGCCACGCCACACATCAAACGGACTAGTCAAGTGGTTTTTCTCTAGAGCTAGAGAGAGAGAGAGCTATTCATTACTACACTTCAGGAGACGACGGGAGAACTGACAACTGACATGGCAAAAGGAAACATGATATCGGAAAGTGGTGCCCTCATCAGCACAAAAAGTGGCGTACTCGATATCATATTAGCACAAAAAGGTGCACGTGTCAGCAATACAACAAAGCAGCGCAGCAGCATGTACGGGTCAGCAGCAC